GTTGCTCCCATAACCAATGTTGGGCATCAAGATCTGGCCCTTGAATCTTCTCCGAACCCTGTTGTCAATACCTCTGGGTTTCCGCCAGTTACGCTGAAAGAAATAACACACAGGTGGGTGTCTGTGCAGAAGGCCAATTCCTACTTTTGGGGAGGGGAAAAAAACAACACATGAAAAGCAAATAGACCAAACACTATCTGGCTAATGGTACTTCACTATTCCATTTTTTTCCTTTTCTTTCCTTTTTTTTAATAGGCTCAGTATCTGTCTCCCCAGCAACTGCTAGAGTGCAGTTGCTTCATCATAGCTCACTGCAAATGCAAACTCCCAGGCTCAAGTGATCCCCATGCCTCAGGCTCCCGAGTAGCTGAGACTATGGGTATGCGTGATGAAACCCAGCTAATTTTTCTATTTTTTTTTTTTTTTTTTTGTAGAGATGGGGTCTTGCTCTTGTTCAGGCTGGTCTTGAACTCCTGATCTCAAGTGATACTCCTACCTGGGCCTCCCAAAGTGCTAGAATTACAGGAGTGAGCCATTGCACTTGGCCTTCACTATTTTTTTCTTTGAGACAGTCTCACTCAGTTGTTTGGGCTAGAGTGCCCTGGCGTCAGCGTAGCTCACAGCAACCTCAAACTCCTGGGCTCAAGCTATTCTTTTGCCTCAGCCTTCAGAGTAGCTGAGACTACAGGTGCATGTCACCATGCCCGGCTAATTTTTTTCTCTTTTTAGTAGAGATGGGGTCTCACTCTTGCTCAAGCTGGTGTTGAACTCCTTAGCTCAAGTGATTCTCCCACCTCAGCCTCCCAGAGTGCTAGGATTAAAAGTGTGAGCCACCACGCCTCACCTTCACTATTTCTTTATGTGCTTTTCTGGTGGTGGTGGTTGGGGGAACAAACAGTAACTCCTGGCTTTAACCTCTAGGAACCTAGATCCCTGTTCATACTCCTAAGCAACGGAGAAATGGAATACTGATGGATGTGAAGGGATTATGTATATAGTAAGACGAATAACATGGGTTTAGATGTTCAAGACCTGAGTTTTCTTATCTATAAAATGGATAATCTACCTCTCCTGATGTTAATAAGGCCACCTGAACTACATGATTTAAATACAAAGCCATCCAAACACATCGAAACAGCCAAGCATCCCTTTTCATTTAAATTTCAATGTATACATCAAGAGACTGAGTATCAGTAAGGCACATTCAGGGAGACCTGGCTTTCTACAGACAGCTTTTCCACCTACCACAAACCAGTTCATCTCTTAAAGACAATCCTCCATCTAGGTGATGTCAGAAACAGCCTGTTAGGAATTCCTTTCTCCACCCCAACACCCATTTCCATCCCAGGAACATATACCTTAATTTTGACATATCGGTCTGACTGGTGCCTGATAAACTTCTTGGTCCTCTTTTTGACGATCTTGGGCTTCACAAGGGGTCTGAGGGCGGCCATGATGCCTTTAAGAAAGAAGCAGGACCCAAGTTAAGAGAATCCTGGAAGGCAGAGCTTTCCGTGCCCAAGGCCTTGCAACTTTGTTGGCGAGAGGTCTTCCAATACACCAGCTACCGTGCAAGCTGGGGAATGGAATGGGTACCTGCTAGGGCTTGCTTTCCCTCGTTCCGAAGCTGGGCAGAATACTAGCCACTCTCCAGACGCATCCAGGAGGTTAGAGGTCATCTCAACCACTCAGGAGCCAAGAAAGAATCCCACAGCTGGACCTAAACAAACTGATCCAAGACCTCAGTTTGCAAGTGGCAGAGGCAGCACCCACGAGTGTCCCAACACGCCTAGCACAGGTGCCCATTAGTGTACAGGCCTTGTCCAATCTACTTGAACCTGAGTCGTAGTATTCCATCTGAAAATGGAGACTGACATCTCCATGCTGAATGGCATTGCACAGTTGGCCTGTCACCAAGTAACCGTTTAATAAAGAGGAAACTTATAATTCCCTCGGTTGCTGGTGCCCGCAGTACCTCAAAATAACCAAACCATGCTTCTAAAATGCAACCTTTAAACTTATGCTTACTCTGGAGGACCGTTTGTGGAATCGACATATACCTGCTTCAAATGTCGGTCTTCCCAGCACTTATTTTTTTCAGTACTGCAGCACCTCTTTTGTTCTCTTCACAAGCCATCAATCTGCTTTTTTGTTTGGCAACAGTAGGAAAGCTGCAATTGCGACACTCACAGTATTCATAACGGACTGTACCCCACTGGAACTATGACCATCCTCGAATGCAGGGGCATTTTCATTCCATATTTCCCAGGATTGTAATCATACCGGAATTTTGTTAACATTGAAGGGAGCGGACTGACACACCTTTTTTCTTTTTTTTGGGGTTCCCAGCGGCAGTTCGAGGGGCCAGAGAGTGCGGGAAAGGAGCGGGCCGGGTGCAGGCAGTGGAAATACCGTTGGGGCAGGGACAATTTTCGATGGGGGCCGGCGGGAGCACGATCCCAGCTTAGGGGCTGTCAGAACCGGGGACAGCTCTAGAGCTCCACAGCCCCGTG